TTATCTCCAGCAGTTTATGGGAAAGACAGGGTACACCCTGGACAGGCTTCAGATATTCCCAAATTACTGCTGGATTTAACTAGCCTGGCCAGCCAGACTGATCCATGTTTAACTGACTTCCTGCCAGATCAAAGGCAGGAAGTCAGTTAAACATGTCAAGCCAAGAAAAGCAAATGCGTCCTAAAATAAAACAACCAAAAAAACTACTAAAGATGTCCGTTGTTAAGATTATAAAGTTAGATCAATCTCACTTACAACATCAGGAAGGGGATCAATAAAACACTGGCCTAATCCCAAACCTGCCCCTAAGCACTAACCCTGAGAACTAACCCTCCGCGTTCTCGCAGATGGTCCACCAAATTAAGGGCCATCACAAACAACGTGGTGGGTAGGGCAAGTCTGCATTAAGTGCAGGCTTGCTGGAATTTGCTAGCAGATGTGACAGTGGCTTGATGACGGAGGAAACTCATGCATTTAAATGTAAGTTTCACCGGTTTGCTGCATCTTCATCACACTGACGAAAAATCATATGTATAAAAAAAATCAATAAATCAATTCCAAAAGGTAAAGTCCTCTTTGAAATAGATTTTGTTTTGCCTTAGAAACAACTGCTTTCTTTTTCCGTTGGAGGGAAGAAGCCATCCCATTCTCTTTTATACCCCCCTACCTTTAATCAAGACCCCTCCCACAACTGCAAGTGTGACTTTATTGCGAGTGAGACTTGACAGTTAGATGTTAGTGGTTAGGGAATGGTTTGGGATTCAGCCATTGTTCCATTGCGGTTTTGTGTTGGCAGAAACCAGAAAGGAACAGAGAATGACGTATCATAAGGGTTTGACTCCTGCGCTGTTATTGGTCTGGAGTCAACAATGGTTTACCTGACTGAATTATGCTCTTTGTTATTCAGTCTTGCTGGCCAGGCTAGCATTTTATCGCATCCTCTGGAGTTTATATTCACCTAAAAGATGATCAGATTAGAAAATCTCTGACAAAGGAAGTATGCATAAAGTCCTAAACTGTGGCCATAAGATTGAAATGGATGTGAAATGATCTCTTTGTTTTTGTTTTTTTTTATTTATGTAACGTCTCTACAGATAATACAATCTTGCCATATGGGGCATGCAGTGGATATGTTCAAATACACTATGATGGTGCCTGGAGACGAGTCAGTGAAAATGGCTTTAATATGAATGCTGCTAATGTGGCCTGCAGGCACATGGGCTGTGGTCCACCATCTTCATACCATAAATACTATCCCTACAGTTCTAATAATTTACGAATTAGCTGTTCAGGAAAAGAAAGTTCTTTAACAGAATGTCAGCATGGTCATGTTACGCAATATCAATATGGACGCCGAGCTTATGTTTCATGTGCAGGTAAGACTGATAGTTAAACCTTTCAGGAATTCTGTTATTACTACTTTTTATAATTTTTTATTTTTTTTATTTATTGATTTTTATATTTCTATATATATTTTTATATTTATTTATATTATTTATTATAGTAATAACAGAAATTCTGTTATTACTACTAAAATATTTCTTGTTTAATTATATTTAAGAAGGAATATTGTACTGTTGATCATTTGTGATTACCTTTTGTATGAGACAACTTGCAGCTCAGTCTATATGATGCATTATAATTATTTTATCATAAGTGCATCATTTCCCGCCTGTTAGGTCATCCAGTCAGATTAGTGGGACCTTCTCGGTGCTCTGGAAGAATTGAAGTCTTTTACAGTGGCGCATGGGGAACCGTGTCTGATAATGGCTGGGACATGAATGATGCTCAGGTGGTCTGCAGACAGCTGGGCTGTGGTATAGCCATTGCTGCCCCTCATTCTGCCTACTTTGGAAAAGGAAGTGACAAAATCTGGGTTGATAATGTTACCTGTACAGGGAGTGAAACGTACCTGACCCAGTGCTCATTAAGTGGATTTCAATCACACAACCTTAGTCACAGTCAGGTTGCAAGTGTCATCTGTTCGGGTAAGGAAACACTCTTGTATTCTGTGAATTACATCCATATTACTGGTATTAAATCTATTACATTTGTTAAATTCTGTAAGATCTTTATCGTGAAAGGTTGAAGAAAAACTGAATTGGTCATTTGCTCTATGTGTTTCTTGTTTGTAGGCCTAATAAAGCCAACCATCACCATAAATCCTCAAAGTGACATCACCCTGGGTCAGAATATCAGCATCACTTGTTTGGTCCCTAACGTACAAGTTGGAGGAACATTCATCTTTAAATGGACCTCATCTAGTCTGACTGTTGAGTCAAACAGCAGCTCTGCTACTTTTTATATCCCTCAAATTGGTTTTGAGCATGAAGGATCACATCAATGTCAGTTTCGAATAAGGGTTTCTAATGAAGACTTCATCACAGAGTTCAGTAATTCTGTTCAGCTAAATTTAAATGGTAGTGTATCTTTTACATTAAAATAATTTTTGAAATGCACAATGGATGACTTATATATATGAAATATTAAGTCAATATTTTGTTTGTTTTCTTTGTAGCAA